CATAATGAACATTAGTTCCTAGTTTGATAACGTAACTAAGAGTTGTCACTTAGAGTTGTATAAACAAAGATGTGTTGAATTTAAAGAATAATAAAATGTTGTATGCTTTTTTACACTGTATTAGAGAAATCTTTACTAAAATGATATGTGGCTACGTTTTGCATGCCTGAAAGGTGATGAAAACAAATTATAAAAGAGTAAGATCTATTCAAGAACTAACAAAACTGCTGTGCAACATAAGAATAAGGGAGCTCAGGGTTTTTACTTTTATTATGCAAAAGATGGATAAGATACAGCTTGATCATAGTTTCAAAGCGTTAGCAGAAATTTCCTGTAGCAGATAAAGTTACTTAATTTAACATACAAAGACATAATGAGATCCAAAGGCTAGAAACTGAAGCTAAATATATTCATTTTACATACAACACAACATTTCTAATAGTAATGCGGATGACTTAACATTGCAGCAATATGCTTCAGAAATCATGAACTCTTTGTTGCTTGTACTGTTAAATGAAAATAGACTATCTCACAAAGGGAGAGAATAACTCAACTGGAAATCCATAAGAAGTAGAAAAAATAGGATTATGGAGTTTATTTTATTTATATTAGAATTTAGACTATCCTTACTATACAGAGAATTAACATATATAAGGCTTACAGACATTCTAGGAAGGAACTGTAAAAATGTATGTTCCAGGAACTGAAAGTGACTGTATGAAAAGTCAGGGCACTAGTCCAGAACTGCAAGTCTAGGTGATAAACTTTGACCTAAAGATATATAGTAAAAATATCTGGTGTTTTCTTAATTGTTATCTTTGACAGAATCCATCTTATGAGAAAGAGACAACTGACTAACCTTCTAGATGTTTTGGTTGTTTTTGTGTTTTGTTTAAATCATTTGACCATTCTATTCATTGATTGTTTAGTTAGATACATTGGTACATTTTAACTGATAAATCATTCAAATCAGTGCACTAGTTCTTCTGCAAGTAATAGCTGTCCTATATTCAAGAAACATGCTAAATCAATTTTGCAGTTGGTTTATATAATGGAGTAACACCATCCCACAAGCATCTGCTCTTAGTGTGCTGCTTATTCCTACTCAAACATGTACCAGTCATTGCAGATCAGATGATGGCATCTCCTGCAAGCAGCACTGCTACTTCTGCAGCACCCCACAATTCCTGACAGTTTTAAAGGAGAGGCTATAAAAGCAGTTGCCCTTTTCCACCTCTGTATCATTTAATAAAAATGATGAGTGTGAGCTTCTTCAGACCAGGATTTCTGCTTATTAGTCCCTTATTTTAGTGTTCATTTCTGTATGAAGAGTACTTTTAGACTTGCGACAAGTTAGTTAAGTAGTTGAAAAATGTTAGACTTATTTATTTACATAACTTTTTTTTTTCTACTACTAAATTTTTGTTTTGAAAAGATGCCATATATAATTTGACTGTTTTAGTTGACATTGGATGTTTATGTCAGCTACTTGGCATGAGGTCCTTTGGGACGCCATGGCTTCAGCTCCTCTACCTTCCAAGTATGCAAGGAGGAAAAAAGTCAGACTACAGTCCTTTTTATCTCAAGAAGAGTTAACATGAAAACATTTGGATCTGACACTACTGAAGAGCTGTGCATCTTGAGAAAGAAGAAAATGTCTCACCTCTGGATGCTCTGGTGCTAAAGAGGTTGAAGACCTGCTGCAGGAAACTCTGGTCTCAAATGCAGGAGTCAGTTCAAAAGTATCTGTGCTCTTGGTTCTCAGTAAACACACAAGACTTCAAGTCTTTAGATTCTGTTAGTACTAATTTCTTAGAGGAATGAGAGACATCAGATCTATCTGTACCAGAATTTTAAAGATGAGTGCTGGAATAAGAAAGCTGTGGGGCACTGGTGGAAGCTGCTACCATATACCGTGCTTGTGAGAACCATGGTATCTCCCCAAGATATACAAACAGTTGCTGTGAATTTTCGTTTCCAGTAAAGCATATCCACATGTATATGTGCTCTGACATCTGTTATTTTGGTTTTATTTAACAATAATAAGCTTGGAAATAAATAATTATCCTTCTCGTGGGTAGTATGAGAAAAGATCAGAGGTAGGAGAAATTGTTTTGTTTAATTTTTATTGTGGGGTATTCTCATTCCCTTTTAGTTTTTCTGCGTATTTGTGATCCTCTAGCCATGGAGGGATCTGATTCTCTTATTTGTATAGCTACAGGACAAACTTGAAGCAATATAAACAGCATATTCCACGGAAGATCAGATGTGATGCATGTATGTAGCATGTCGAAATAGTCTCCAAAAAACTGTTGCATGCAAGAGAACACAGAGCAAAATATTTCATTTCATGCGTACAGATCTTAAAAATAGGGCATTAAATGTTGTTTTCTAAAAGAACATTTCCTTATTAGAATGTTATTACTGTGATACTAATGCTTCTTGATGCATGTAGTTCTGAGTCTATTTGTTTTACTCTGGATCTCAAGCTTAGTTTTCATCATTTTCCCTTTTATGTATTAATTAGTATAATCTGACATGTTGCCTGTGAAGGCCCTTCAGGGGCTTCCACATATTGATAAGAGAGAGGGGACAGTGACTGGCTTTTAGGCTTGAAATCCATGATATGAGGTAGTCAGATGTATCAGTATTAGTCCTCCCTTTTAATATCTTCAAAAAGTATTCCACTCTCCCTGTTAGCAGAGTCATTATTTAATAAAAAGACAGAAATAAAAGAATAAATTCAGTCCGAAGCCTCCACTACTATTACTTCTGCTATATGTCCTGGTAGAGGATACTGGCATAAGAAGGTTTGATGAAGTAAGGTTGTACTTCTCCAAGCTTGGCAACAAAACACAACCGTTTGCAGAAGATGGGCTAAAGTGCCAAAAACGTGTGCTGGGTCATCCTATTTCTTCAATTTTTTCTGCTGGAAGGACCCCAGTGCAGCTCCTAGCATTGTCACTGACTGATGGTGTTTTTCAAATATTCTATTATTTAAGATTCAGTCCTTACTTCAGGGTGATTAGCCAGACTGAAGCAGACGGTGTATTTTATCTCTTACTGAAGTAATTTGTGAAGTATTTATTGGCAAATGCATACTCAAATAAATGTGAAATATTGGAGAGTACTTTGTTTAGAATATGCTGAATAAAATCATCTAGTTCATTAGGATGTTTCCTAGAAAACTGATTTAGCTTCCTGATGATCAATGGTGATGTCCTGATTAATCAGGACAATATTAGGATAATTTTTATTAATAAAAATCATTAGCTAGTACCCTGTATTCATGTTGAGTATAAAGCTCAAGTTAGAGTGAAGATTTTTTTTTCCAGCTAGTAATGGAGAGCAATATAAAAATGAGGGCCACAGAACAATCATTCAAAATGGACTAAGGGATCACTTATCAACCCTTAAAATATATTCTGGGCTACCATATACCTGTATTGTCCATTTTAAAAAGGTAATTTAAATGATGTACACTTTAATATTTTTTCACTTAGGATTGCATTCAGGACAACAATTTGGGAACAAGTGGCATTTAGGGTTACCCAGTGATTTCTCTATTCTTACCATCCCACAATGCAGTTATGATGTTTGAGATTTAGGTAAAGCTTTTCATCTATAGGTATCAATACACTGAGATCACTATCAAAGGAGATACTGTATTTTTTGGTAAAACACAATGTCCGGTTTACAAATAGGGAAATGAAGACACAGGCAGGAAAAGGGATTTTTTTTTTTCCTCCCCCAAGGTTATTCAGTAGGCCAGCTGGCAAAGTCAGGAGTAGAACTCGGGTATCTGAAGGCAGGTGGTTGTTTAAAATTGCTAAATTGCTTGTTTAATAACTGTAATTGCTTAATACATAAAAGTTTTAACCCTCAAATTCGCTGACTACGGAATTTGCTTCCCTGAGGCCCGTTTTGGAAGAATTTACTACAAATCTCTTCACTTATAAAAGGGCAAGTAAAGATTACGCTCTTCTGACATTTGCAGTCAGTTTGGGTGGGCATTTGGTATTTTTATTCAGGAATTTAAAATATGCTAATAGGATCATGTATGACAAGTAAATAGGGCCCTATCTTGTAAAAATTTTTTTCTCTTGCTTTCTGTCATGAATATATATGGAGTTTTTTCACCCGTTTCATACAGCGTGGTTGTTAACAATATATTTCATATTCCTCTCTTCTTTTATTTTACCCTTTTGGTTAAATTTCTGGAAGAGCAGTTTCTAATTAAACTCTCTGACTCAGATTGGAAAGGCTGTCATCTAAGTTAGGGAGGTTGCAGTTAAGCATGCAGAAGAAAAGATTCAAAGGGAACAGGTAGAAAGCTACCTCCATGACATATGTGGACAAGACGATGCGCTGCTTTGCAGAAACATCTGTGTTAATTCTGAGTGAAGTAGGTGGGTTGCCAGAAACTGTAACTGTGGTTTCATTCAAGAATTGGTGTAGTGCATGTAGTGTGCAGCTAGGCTTGGGTACCTCTGCATGGCACTGCATTGTGCTGTGTTGATGAGACAGCAATAGTTATGTGTAGGCTTTTATGTAAATGTGGTATGACTCACTCTAATTAGCACTTTCTTAGTTAGAAAAAAAAAAAAAACACTGCCACAGAACTGTTACTGATCTTAGTTCTAAATCACTAATTTTGTATTATCTGGATAAGTATAAAAATCTAACGTGTTCATGTGTAACATGAACCAA